TTATTTTGCTCAAGCGCTGAATGCTTGAGCATGCATTTTGCTTCACGCGCTGAGTTTGCATGACTGAACTTTGCTTTTGATTACAAGAAGATTGGAATGACTGAACTTCTCTTTTGATTACTTTCAACTATCCTTCTAATTTATAACAATAAAACGTACTAACGTAGAAGAGATATGTTTATCAATTTTTACAGACGAATTATTTCAATAGTCTTGCATAGTGGAAATTTATCTCCAATACATTTCATGTATAGATTTTTAAATGCACAAAATGTAATTTACCGGTTGTTATTACAAACTAAAATATAATTTAAGAAACAACACAGAAGAAATAGGTATTGCAAGAATATGTAAAGTTCTGACAATCTCTCATATTCATAGAATTACTACACAAACAACCCTGATTAATTAACATTTAAAACGCTTCTAATGACTTATTTGTGAATCCATTTTCATTATGTTTCTTATCAATTGAATTGAATTGAATTAAATTAATGCCTTATTTTACGTGGCGAGACTCAGGCCATTAGGCCTCCTCTTCCGTCTGACCACGCAAATTTCGCTACGCTCCTTTCACCAACTAGCAGAGAAAGGAGGTATTTCTTGGGCGAGAAACAGGCGATTTGAATTTGGCTCAGAGGCGTCATTTAGGCTTGAGGATCTTTTACATGCAAGTAAATCTACTAACATGGGGCAGCCGGCTTTACTTCCCCTCCGAAGGAAGGCGTACGAAGGATTTTTTCGCCCTTAAAAATCCACGGCTTCGATCGGGATAAACTCTCCATAAATTTTCCAATTTTATTTACATTTCACATCCTCGGGTCCGCAGCTTTATCAGAAGGACGGCACTTTTCAATGCATTCGAACAGCGCAGTACACGTGCAGAAGTATTTGCGTGTGTTCGGACGCATGTACACGCTTACGCGCGCGTGCTTGTGTGTCAAGGAGCTTATCCCAAACAAAGCTCCGTTAAATGAGCCGAACACCGGAAAGCGGCGACACCGGCCACCAGTTTGGCCTTGTCCCCCGCGCAAGGGCGGCTCGGGCCTTCCTGGGCGCGTGGGCGAGCGGGGACGTG